GCGAAGTCAGTAACTAAAAATCCATGTGGAATAATATTCTTGACATATATTATTAAAAGTATGCTAATCTGCAAAAGGAAGCTTCTTAATCTCCTTGCTATGGTCTTTGCATGGAGTCAACATGATTGTGACTTGATTAAACTTTTCCAATTACACACGGTTTGAAATTTGTGCCACACTTTTATCATCCATGTCGTGTCAGTAAAAATTTATTCACACTAGATTTTATGTCAAATTCTATTAATTTACTATGAAAACATGAGTTCATTAACGATAGTTTAGTAACGACAATATATATCACATACTACGTGTCATTGAGTTGATGTAAACATGAAAATAAATTTGAACAAGAGAAGCACAATGATCAAATTCATAAGCTCATTAAACAAATTTCTGCTTCAATTTTTCAAAACCATATACTATAAGTAATAATTATCACAAGTCTTGCAGTAGCTACCTAACAATCTAAGAGAAAATAGAAAAATTAGTACAAAGAGAAACTATTTATACTTCACGATATTACATTTAATATGCATATGCTTTAAAAATTAAAAAAATTACAAGAAATAAGAGACTCCACAAGGAGTAGTTTTGAATTTTTGATCCAGCTGAACAAAATCTTTTTAAAATGATATATATTATCTATCGGACATAAATTCTAGTCGTGATATGTACATACAATTAATTTTGCTTATAAGGCAAGACTTCAAAACATTTCAAGAAGTTACAGATAATAAAGATAGTATTTGGACATGACACAATTGAGCAACTCAGATTTGTCTATTAGTCAAATCTTACGATCAATTGAGTAGGTTCGAGCTCTTGCCTGATAGACAAAACTAATTTATGTCTACGTCCGACGGGCAACAAAGATCATTTTTAATTTTCTCTTGAAAATCTCATGCCCCTTTGATGTGTTGAACTTGTTGAAAATGTTTTTGAGCTGCTACATTACTAGAATTTGCTATATCATCATTGATTTCCCTATCAATTGATTGTGTATTATCATTCTCATGATTTTCATTAATAAAACTCTCATGACAAAGAAATATGAAAAGGGTGTTCATAAAACAACCCAAAATTGGAATTTTTGATAGAACATGTGTAGTTTGTTGAAGATTCATGGTGATTTTTACTCTCAAAATGAAAATTTGTAAAATGTTTTTTGTTGAATGAAGAATTAAGGCAAGTGTTTTTCTTGAAAATTGTGAAGAGAATTGGATTAATTTATAGATGGAATTATTGGTGGGACCACAAAAAAAGTTTGAAATATGGTCCATTAATTTTCTTAATTTACTTGGTAAACAAGTCCAACTTTCTTGTGACTTTTCAACTTTTTTTTTGTAAAGTATATTTTTATGTTTGGTAACAATAACTTAATTTTAAAATACTTATTTTACTTTTAATAAAATAATTTTAGTCACACAAATATTAATAGTTTATTTTATACTATAAATTTAAGATTTTTTTTTCTTTCTTAAATTTCATGTTAAGTTAAACTATATCATATAAATTAGACTGAGTGATTCAAAATGTGAGGCAAAAGATAAAAAATCAAATTGAGGTGGCCACTAATATCTTTTTTTCCAAGTATTAAAAAAAAGAGGTAAGAAAATGACAAAAGAAAGTGGGACGTGGTCATTTGGGAACCAAGCAAATTAAGTAAAATAATGGACTATGCTTTCGAATTTTAGTAAAATAAAATGAAGAGGAATTTTTCGATCGATAAGAGCATTATATGATACACGACTTTTTAAAATTAAAAATAAAATTTTGAGCATTTTGATTCGCTTCGTTAACGTGTGCTTCATATTAAGGCTATTAGATATGCATTTTATACTAAATAATTTATATTTCACTTTTATCGTATAAAAATTTAATTTTTTTTATCTATATATTCGTGATTTATAATTGTTAGTCTTGAACGTATATATATATATATTTTTTTTTTTTCTCCATTTATCTTTTTGAGTTAAACTCTTGCTTTATTTACGCATAAAACCCAATAGACCTTAGAGGTTTGTTGTGTTTTTCGCTTTTGATAACACGGGTCTTCAACAATCAATTTCTATGGTGGGGTTACGAAGAAGTGGAGATATGTGTCCAAATCTTGATAGATAGAGTTATCTAGTATATGTGTTGATGAGAAGTAACAGTTATCTGATGAAATTAGTTGAGATGTAGATAGACTTAGCCCCTAGGCCTACACATTATTTTTAGAAGTAAGATCTTTTCCCTTGTTTCAACACAATAACATATCCGGAGTAATACGATAAATCGGGTCTAAGAAAAATAAAATGTATAGACTTTACCTCTACTTTTGCGAATAGAGAAATTATTTCGAATAATATACCCTATTTCCTTTCCAAGATATACCTCCTCAATTTAACATGTATTAGTGTGTCATGACAACTTAGTAATTTTAATAATTTTCACAAATTATGAATTCATGTTTATAAAATAAAATAAAAAATATAACTTAAAATATTTAAATTATATGTCCAAACAAATTACAACTTAAATAAGCTTTATTTCAAATCAATGAAGTCCAAACGACACCTAAATATATACATGGACAAGGCCTAGCTTCACTCTATGTTGTTTTTCCCAATTCATTTCTCCCTCTGGCGACTGAGATTCAAGATACTCAAAAGGGTATTTTTTATTTTTTTAGCGAACGAATTGAGCTACTAAGATTTTTGTGTTTGTTGCATTTATACAGCTTCTTATGCTTATTTTTATGAGTTAAAATGAATAGATTTTTGTTTTTCCTTATTGTTAAAGATGATGAATGATAAGAGCTTAGAAGAAGAAGAAGCAAATATAATGTGATTCTAGGTTTCTACTTTTTGGAACTCACAAATGTATTGTGGAGTATTAATGGAAGGTGTTTATGTTGCTCAGACTCTTAAAAAATGCTCTTGAGTCGAGGATCTATCGAAAATAGACTCTAACAACCTCTGAGGTAGGGTTAAAGGTATGCATATACCTCTAGCCCCCTCAAACCCTACTTTGTGGGATTACACTGAGTATGTTGTTGTACTCTTAAAAAATGTTACAGGTTTGTGTCAATCCTCCAAAAAGTAGTACTCACTTTGCTTCCATTTGTTTGTATTACTTACATTTTTAGTTCCTTTAGAAAAAAGAATGTCTTTTTCCTTATTTGACCACTCTTTAATTCTAATTTTCTAAATGACACGTTTAAGACCACAAATGAAAGGGCATTTTGGTACATTTTACATATTTTAGTTTAAGACGACACGATTCAAAAGTTTTCTTTTCTTTCTTATACACCGTACCAAGTCAGAACAAGACAAACAAATTGAAACGGAATGAGCACATTTTTGGTAGATTCGACATGGTGCGACATCATTTTTTGCGAGTCCAAGTAACATAACTTGTAAGAGTGCAACTAACTATACATGGATTTGTTTGTTGGTGTATATCCATGTTATTATGGCAAGGCAAATTAGAGTCAGTATAACATAGATATTAAGAGGAAGTAGTTGTATGAATCATACAACATACAGTATGATTTCAACTAGAATACACCTTTATTTCTTATGTAGAATGTGAAAATAGTTCTGTTCTGATAATTTGGAGATCACTTACTTTGCTTATTTTCTACAGCTTCTTGGTGATTATTAGGATGCCTCTTAAGGGAAGAAGGCGTTGTCGAAGTTTACCTCCTGACATCCTTAGCAACCTTCCTGATAATATAATCGATGTCATTCTTATGCATTTGCCTTGTAAAGATGCTATGAGGACAAGCATCTTATCGAAGAAATGGAGGTATCATTGGTGCAGACTTACAGAATTGACACTTGATCAATCTCATTGGAGTACAAAAGAGGATTTACTAGATCCTACTGTTAAATTTTCGAAGATTGTTTACCAGCTTTTAACCCTTCATGAAGGACCTATTAATAAGTTTACCATCAACATTGCTGAGTTGAGAAGCTGTCCTGAGATTGATTTCTTCATATATTTTCTCTCTAGGAATGGCATTCAACATCTTGTTCTTCACCTTCCACGGAATGAAGATGAACTGAACATATTGCCTTCTTCACTTTTCACATGTTCGAGGCTGAAATGCAGCTTCTCAAGCTTTTGTTAGCCAAGTCCCCAGTGTTGGTGAGAGTGATTATCGATTCATATTCACGCCCCAAAAGAAGATCAAAGATACTTGCTAAGGTATCAAAATTTTGGCATGCATCACCTAAAGTTGAAGTAATCTATCATGATCTCATAGCAGAAGTATATTTGAAGTTGAAATTAATAGATGGAAACAAATGTTGGTGTAGTAGTAGTACTATAACATTGTGTTTTGATGTGAATGTCTGTTTGGGAACATGAGCATTTCTGGATGAATGTTTTGATTAGTTTGTTTTGTTAGCCAAGTTCCCAGTCTCTGTTCATGAATGATTTTGTTGAATGTGACATACTCGTGTTGATTCTCTGCAATATGTGATACTCCACCTGAACTGATAATTGAGGTGTGAAACTACGGAAAAAAAAGAAGATATTTCATGTGTGGTTTAAGGTGAGGAAACACACTATCAATTTTTTTCTTGTTTTATTCACGTGGCTCGAATACAAAATCTTTGATTAAAAGTGAAATGATCCCATGAGCCATTTCAACAACAAATTAATTCAGAGGGGCTTGAGATTATTAACCAGTTGTTTTGAAGATAAAAATAACTTTTAGCAGAAATATAGTCGTATAGTCATGTGATCAGGAGGGTCACAGATTCAACTTGTGAACTAAACTCAATATACATATAGATTCTAAGAATATAATTGATTTCTCTCGTCGATCCAAATAATCATATTGAAATGATAAATCTCCATGTCAAACATCCAATAAATAACATATTACCAATAAGAGATGCGATGGAACATTTATCGCACTTTAATCAGAGATCTTGAATTTGAACTACAAATCCAAATTAGTAAAGCTAGTGGGCACTCAATGGTCAAAACCAAAATAAAAGAACAAATAACATAACTAATTTTTTAATAAAAAGAAGCTTCATAACACTCTAGATTTAAAGGAAAATCAATGCTAATGTCTTTTAGTTCTTCAACAATGGAGCATGAAAAGTGCAAAGCTCTACCTCCATTTGTTGGGTCCGAAAGAAGCATTAGAAGGCGCGTTACTCGCGCTTTGGAGGCTAACAAACCTACGTAAACTAGGTGTACGACCCAAAACCGAGTCATTACACAAAGAGTAAAGAACAAACACACCTCAGATACCATTGAAAATAAACAACCATAGTGCAGATTCATATCCAAGCCTCAGACCTCTTTATCAAGCCAAAAACATCCATACCCCCGACTCGTTTTCATTTCCTTTCTAGCTGACATTCAACTTTAGCTTTACCTGATGCCCGCTGAAATGTTGTTAACTCTGCAAGTATCTTGACACCTTTTTCTTCGTCTACCAATTGTAGGTCGGGCTCAACTAGCATTTTCACCAGCATCGGAGATTTGGCCAATAGAAGCTTGATCAGCGCCATGTCAAGCTTTGTGCCTATTATTCCTACAACCTTAGCCATCTTAAGGTAATTCAATGTCACATCTGAGAAGCTCGCAGAAACTTCATTAACTTTATTATCTGATTCTATAGACACCTAAGAAAGATAAAGAAGGTTGAAGATCTAATGAGTACGAGGATAAGTCACCATAACGTATGAACAGCAGATACAAAAGAAAAAGAGAAACATAAACATCATAAAGAACCTGCACTTCAAGATGTTGTAAGCATGGGGAGCTTCGTATCAAGCAAAGAGCACATGAAAGATCAGTTAACTCATCCAGTGATACGTAAAGACGTTTAAGATTGTTAAGAGCAGAGGAAAGCCTTCTTGGTACTAAAGCAGTCAAAAACTACAAAGAACAAATGAAAAACCAAGATGACTCAAAGCCTAAAAGATGAAGATGTAAATATACCAATTTTAATGAAATTGCATCGGCATTAATATGAAGTTCTGAAGCAACATTTACCTGGAAACTTCCGTATTCCAAGTGGAGATGCTCAAGAGAAAGAAGCGGCTGAAAAAAATTGTCAAGATCACATTTTTCTGATTCCTCAAAAGATTCTCCATAGAAAAGAGAGAGTTTTACAAGATGCGGAGAATTTTTTAAGGAGATATATTTTATACAGCCTAAGAAGTCGAAGGATCTCAACTTGGGAGCTCTTATTTGAAAGTGGTTCATGGAATCAAAGAATTTCAACACTAGCTTCTCAAGCAATGGGCTAGAAGAGATTAAACTTTCTAGTGATCTGGAAGAAACTGATACATGACACAGTTCCAGGCTAATTAACATATTGAACCCTTCGAAGGCCGGTGGAGGACATATTTGACAATTTTGGAGGGTCAAGTGACTCAACTGCAAACACGTGAAAAATGAAGAAGGCAGTTTGAGTCGGTTCCATTCTGAAAATTGAAGAACGAGATGCTGAATGTCTTTCCTAGAGAGGAAATGTAACAAGCTGCAAATCTTAGGATACTTTTTCAGTTTAGACATGGAAAGGGTGAAATGAGTAATCGGTCCTTGATGAAGGGTCAAAATGTTGTACATAATGGTTGTAAACCTAATAGAAGGAGATAGTAAGTTATCTGTTGTCTTCCAAAGTTCATCATCAAGCGTCAACTGTGGAAGTTTGCTCCACTTGTACCTCCATTTCTTCGATAAGATGCTTGTCCTCACAGCATCTCGCAAAGGCAAAGGCATCAAAATGGCATTGATAACATTCTCAGGTAAATCGGTAATCTCAGGAGGCATTGTACAACACCAGTAGTAATCTGCAAGAAAACAAACAAGAGCACAAAGTTAAGTAATCTCCAATTATTTGCATATAGTAAACAGACGACAGTGATCCATCTCTTCTAAGTATCAATGAATTGCATTCTTTAGAGCAAGAATACCTTTCTACAAATACTTCAAGAATACAGACTTGTTATCGGAAAGGAAAAGTCAACACATACACGAGAATCATAGTGCCTTTTACCAGCATTTGGTAAATTTCACTCTTAAAATCAGCTTTGTAATTGTTCCACAGCTTTAGCTGGATTTGACATCAAATCAGCTACTACTAGATTCCCGAAGACCTAACACTTACATTAGAATAACCTAAATATCAGGTTAAGTTCTATTATATATTACCAATAAAGGAAATGTACCATAACTCAGCTCACCTAAAAGCAGTTAAAAGAAAATTTTCAGCTTACCAAGACCTAAGATTTTTGGTGAAGATCAAAGAGGTGGAGTTACCTTTTCCCGAGATTGTTGCCAAATGCCCTTCTTTAAGTACTTTTGCCTAGGGTCTGTTTTATTCTTTTCCTCACCCAAGGATGTAGCCTATCGGTTAGTGAAGGTGAGATGAAAACCATAGGTGATTAGGTTCAAATCTAGATTTAGGTGATTTTAATAGAGTTCACAAGTTCCAAAGAAATAGTCAAGGCACAAAAGTAAGCCAGGGAAACTCCATTTAAAAATGGGAAGAATAACTCCCTGTCTCGTTTCTAATTTAATTTTTTTCTTATAGTCCGAATCCTCAGTCAATTCACTAGTCATGGTGTTTTCGTAATCCAAGAATTTTCCATATTGTTTTCTTTAAATGGTGGTGTTTGGACCAGCTTAAGCACGTCTCGACTACTCCACTCACCACCCCACCCACAACCCACACGTACCAGGTAGCTCCCGGTCTCATTTCTAAAATAAAGATTCAATTTTTTTGGTAATCCAATTCCCCACTCCAAACAATAGTCTAGGTGTTTTTGCAATCCAAGAATTTTCCATGTTTTCTTTAAATGGTGGTGTTTGGACCAGCTTAAGCACATCTCAACCACTCCACCCCAACCCACAACTACCGGGTAACTCCATCCACCCGAGCTTAAGTACATCTTAACTATTCCACTCACAACCTACCACCCCACAACCCACAAGTACCAGGTAACTCTATCCACCCGAGCTTAAGCACATCTCAATTCCCAACTATTCCACCCACCACCCCACAACCCACAAGAACCAGGTAACTCTGTCCACCCGAGCTTAAGCACATCATGACTATTCCACCCTCAACACACAAGTATCAAGTAACTCTGTCCACCCAAACCTTGGACAAAATATGAGAAAACCATTGGTTCTTTATTTTATAATTAGAATTTTCCACATAGTACTTCTCTATAATCATTTACTTCCACAAAGATTCAATTTTTATTGACTTAAAGAAAGAACACAAGCACAAACCCAAAGGAACCAACCACTAAAACAAAAGTAAATTTTCTGATATAAAAACACACAATAAACACATATATAATAGAAGAAGACTTATCGTTTACCAAGCAAGAAGATGGCTGATGATATAAAATCCAAAAAAGATTGAATCTTTGCCTCTCTTCTCAAAAACCCTTGTGACTACTCCTCTTCTTTAGCTCTTTTAGGGCAAAATTTTGTACTTTCTTCTGATTTTTTTGGGGAGAAATAGGGGAGAGAGACCTCAATTTTAAGCCACGTGTCCATTTGTGGCAAATTTACATTTTTAACCTTATTCTGTGCTCACTTTTTATTTTTGTGCTTACTGTCTTGTAAGATAAATTTATATTCCGACGAAATTCGCCATTGTCGCCGCCGGCCAGAACTTCGATTTCGAGGCTTGAGGTAAAGTCATTAAATAATCAATTGATATTCTTCATTATTTTTGAGTAATGAAGACAATATATATATCGAATTTCATATGAAAGTTTGCCCCTTTTGTTCTTCTCAAAATCTCATTTGCTTGTTGGTTGCTTTTGTGCACTCTCCCTGTTTCAATTTGTTTGTTTGATTTTGAGTTGACACGTAATTTAAGAAAGTAAATAAGACTTTTTGAATCCTGTGGTATTAAATTAAATATGTTAAAAATGTAGCAAAATGCTCTTCAATCCTGTGGCATATGTGGAAAGTTCGAAGTGAAGAGTGAAAGAAACATTCTTTTTGAAACAGATTAAAAAGTAAAGTAAGTTAGTGGTGTCGAATTCACATTGTGGTTTTGAATTTTGATGGTTTGGTTTTGAGTTTCTACTTAGAAACACAAGGGAATGAGGATAGTTTTAGTAAGCACATAGTTGTTGAAAATTGCCTTGAATCTTCTGAACCTAAATATTCTCATAATTTATGAGTTTTTGTACTTATCTTGGACGAATGCTTGTTGAGTCCTCTTCATCTGCTTGTTTTTTTTTTTTTTTACTTCCAAAAAACGCATATTTAGGTGTATTGAGAGCATAGTGTTACCCGAAATTGAATGTAAGCTTTTAAAAGCCCTGAATCTACTGAAGACATTTTGTTAGTGTTTAACTTATCAAAGTCTATCAAAGATAAATGAATCAAATAGTTGGTTTTAGGGGAAATGGTAGCTGTTGGATTTTCTGAGAATGTTCTTAGAGTTTAGGATGATAATTTGCAAAAGGCTACAAATTTTATTCATAACGAGTAGGACATGCTAATCATCCTCTTCGCTATCATGTGCTACTTCAATGTCATTCTCTTCTTTGTGTGGATTGCGACCCCAACCATAATCATCACAATTAAGTCCAAGGTTCTCTGCAAGCTCTCTAATCTCTTGGCTATAGTCGAGAAAATTGCTCACTTTACTTGACAACATATGGCCTCCCTATAGTTGGATAATAATTTAACGTTTCTGTCAAATGCTTTGGAAAGTCCTTGCCACTCTTGAATAGTTAGGTATAATGGACCAGAAGAGTCGTGATGCAATTTTTTGTTCTCCATACTCTTATAGATCTCCTTTCTAAAACTTCACGTCTACCGATGCATGAAACCCAACAAGTGACTTTTCCATTTCAAGAATTTCTTTATACAAAAGCTGAATTACTGCTATGTCATCTGTCTGTCCATGTGTTTCTGTTGGCAATTGAGTGAAACCGTAAAAGGAATATCAGCTGCCATGTCATGAAATGGCAAGCCTCTGTAGCAACAAGCATTTCCACTTGGGGTATGCCAAAAAATATGATTCGGTTTTCTGTTCTTTTGATTTTTTTCCCTTTAGACCCACAAATGCATTTTGTGAAGTATTGATGGAAGGTGTTCTTGCTGTGAGAATGATATTAATGGATATTAAGCTCTGGTATATATATAGTAGGGGTGCGTGGAATTATCCCGTATGGGTATGTCTAAGTTTTCTTCATATATTTTGAAGAATCGGCAAGAAATATTCTTGCTCGTTATCATACCGTTTGACATGGTATCTCAAGGAAAATTATATATCCAAATAATCAAGAGGAAATAGTTCACAGATTCAATACTTAATATCAAGAACAATTGTACTCCCTCCGTTCCCATTTAAGTGTCTTAGTTTGACTAGGCACGGGGTTTAAAAAATAAAGAGAAACTTAATGTGTCTAGCATACTAAAATGTCCTTTGAATCTTGTGGTTATAAACTTGTCATGTAGGATATTTGAACTGTCAACTCACTAAATATAGAAAGGGACACTCTTTTTGGGATAGAACAAAAACAAAAGTAAGACACTTAAGTTGGGACGGAGGGAGTGTATTTTCGTTTAGTCTTTGGTGCAACATTGCTCCCTTTGATGTAAATGATAGTAACACCATTGTTGACTTTCTTAGATCATTACACAACTTGTGATGTTTGCACATTTTGGTTGCAACTTTTGCTCACCATTTCCTTTATGCTGGTATTATAATAAAAGTTACTCATTACCTGTCAAAAGAAAAAAAAAGCGATATTGACTGTTTTATTTTCAACTAGAATGCACCTTTACGTCTTATGTTGATTTGACAATGTGAATAGTTGTTCTGTCCAGATAGTTTGAAGATTCCTTACTTCATATTGTTGTTTATTTTCTATGGGGTTTTGGTGATTATTGCTATAAGTGATCCTTTTGTTCTTGTGTTGATTTGACTACGTGAATAGCTGCCCTGTCCAGATAGTTTGGAGATTCCTTACTTTGTATTATTGCTTATTTTCTACAGGTTCTGGCTGTTAAGTGTTACGTGATGCCTCCTAAGGGAAGAAAGCATTGTCGAAAGTTACCTCCCGACTTCCTTAGCAACCTTCCTGATAACGTGATCGATGTTATTCTGATGCGTTTGCCTTGTAAAGAAGCTGTGAGGACAAGCATCTTATCAAAGAAATGGAGGTATCACTGGTGTAGAATTACAGAGTTGAATCTTGATTCATGTCTTTGGGAAACAAAAATGGATAAGCTATACCCTACAGTCAAATTTACGAAGATTATCTACCAGATTTTGTCTCTTCATGAAGGCCCAATTACTAAGTTTAGCCTCGACATTGCTGTTCTGAAAAGCTGTCCTAATATTGACAACTTCATACATTTTCTGTCTAGGAATGATATTCAACAACTTGTTCTTGAGCTTCCATGGGGTAAAATGTACAACCTGCCTTCTTCACTTTTCACATTTTCGCTGCTGAGTCATCTAACTCTTCATAATTGCGTAATACATCCTCCATCGGACTTTCAAGGATTTGATAAGTTAATTAGCCTGAAACTATGTGATGTCACTATCTCTCCTGAATTGCTCGGAAGTTTAATATCTCAATGCCCGTTGCTTGATAAGTTGGAGCTGGAAATATCGGAAGATTCACTTTCAGATGTGATAGAAATTAATGCCCCCAAGCTGAGATCTTTTGATTTCACAGGCAATATAACTTTTATCTGTCTAATGAATGTACCTCTTCTGGCAGAAGTATCTCTGAGCTTATATCAGGGTTCTTCTATGGAGGCAGATAATTTCTTTTTTGCAATGTTTTTCGAGTCGTGTACTGCTCTCGAGAGACTCTTCTTGCACTTCAATGGTTCTGAGGTAGATAATCTTTTATTACTTCATTTTTAGAGCTTTAACATATGGAATTTCTTTTGGGCTGACTCATCTTGAATTTTGGTATTATTTTTTCCATAGATACAGCCTGAAGATGATGACGAAGTAGCTACGAGGCTTCCCTTTGATGTTAACTGTGTCAAATATCTTTACCTACGTTTTCTTTTTCTGGAGGAGTCATATGACCTCTCACATGTTCTTTGCTGTATAAGAAGCTTCCCATATTTAGAATATCTCGAAATACAGGTTCTTAGTGCTTTGACTCTTTTCCTTCTTTCTAATCTTGTATTATTCTTCGTATTTGTTAGATCCTGAATAATCTGAGAAGTGACTTATTGTTATCTTTCTTAGGTTGGCTTTGGAGATGATGGTAATATAGAATCCCTTGAACTCGAACATTTCACAGATTTGACATTAAATCACCTCAGGGAAATTAAGGTAGAACGCTTTGAAGGAACTCCGCCTGAGATGCAACTTCTCAAGCTTTTGTTAGCCAAGTCCCCGGGATTGGTTAGAATGCTAATTGATACATGGATTCCAGATGATACTATTGTATCAAGACCAGGTGCATTCACTGAGGTATCAAAATTTTGGCGTGCATCGCCTAAAGCACAAGTAGTCCATAAATCATGATCTTTGTCGTTGTATAGTGCATCACCTAAACCCGAGTTTCTGTAATAAGATACACAGACAGTGAAGAATCTGTTATGAACATGAGCATATCTGGATGAATGTTTTGATTAGTTTGTTTGTAATAACATTAGTCATTACATGTTAAGGAATTTTTACATTTAGTGTCTGCTTCATGATTGATTTTTGGAGTGATAGATTCGTGCAAAAGTAATAGCCTGCTGCTCCCAACTTACGGGGGCTTGCGAGCAGTTCAAATTAGTTGAATCTTTCTTTGTTTCACTTTTTGCTGTTGTGGTTTGCTGTGTGTTGATTCACTGTCTGGTCAATTCAATTTATATTATTTATATAAGTTAATAAAATATTCTCCTAGTTTTAAAATAAGTAATGTCTGTACCTTAGGAGTTAGGTATATCCCTTAAAAAAATTAATCATTCTTAGAAAATAAGGAGTGTTTTTACTAATTTACTCCTAATTAAAAGCCTTGGAGAAAGAAATGATTCTTTAATGATATAAAACATCATGTATTAAAACAAGGGTTATTTTGGAAGAGTACAGTCAATTCTTTCTCTTCTTTTTTTACGCACGGCGTTCGAAGCCCCAGCTAACTCCAAATTACGCACTCTAGGGTCCATTTGGGGGTGTTCGAAGCCCTGACTAACTCCGGATCGCGCACTTTAGGTCCATTTGGGGGCGACACTCCAACCATGTTAAAGTGAATCAGTCCCACATTGCACCACAACCATGTTGGTAGATCAGTTCTTTCTTGAAATCTTAAAATACAAATTATTTTAGAATGGAGAAAGTACCAACTAACCTAATACATGAATCTTACTATTCCCTCCGTCCATTTTGTCCATGTTTGACGTAACATATCCCTTGAGAAACAACAAGTAAAATGATAATTTTACTATATCTCCTCTATTAATTATTAGTCATCTATGCTACGATATTAATAGTACGATTTCATAACAAGAGTAAAACAGACACAAAATTTCATATTTACTAACTTGACTAATATATGTTCGCACCACATATAATTCAAAATACTTTTTCATTCTACCTTGTTTTTCTCGCCTCGATATTTAGTATTCGTATTTCACTTATACCCGAAACTCAAATCCGACCCGGTAATATACTATAATGTATTTTCTCAATTTCTCTTTCTTTCCAAACCCCATGCCCTAGATTAGGATAAAACTCATAAAAATTTACAAATAGGGCATAAGGCGTTTGACAAAATTCCGAAGAGAAAAAGGACAATTCTTCTTCCTTGGTAAGCTTTAAATCTTTTTCCATTGTAATTTGGTTATTTTTCTGCATTTTTATCATTCGTTTCGTTTTTTCGATGAACTTACAATCTCTGAAAATAAGTGTATTGGGCGAATTTAGGATTTTTAGAATATGAATGTAGCAATGAAAATGAAGAAAATGTATAAAGCGGAAATTGATCCCGACTCATCTAGGTAAATAACTCAACATTTTTCAATCAAGTGCATCATTTAATTTTATGAAGAGACCATGGGTTTACGTGCCCCGTAATTAGCATATAAATTAACCCCTGGACTTTTAGTTGTTGGTTTCCTTTTGGGTGTGTGTGTATGTTCTTTAAGTTGATAAAAGTTACTTCCTTTTTGTAGTTTTTAGTTTCAAAGCATAAGAAGCTATTTAAGTTTGTCCCAAAAATCTTACAAAGATAGTGTTTTTTGGATGGTTCAGATTCCAGTGGTGTCAGAAAATATTATAGGTGATTTCTTCGTATCTGCTTAAGGCTGACGGGTAGAGATACGAGATATATTTATTGGTGGGAGGTAGCAGGTACGTAGTAGTATAGTTGAGTTTAGTGCAAGTTGGCATAGGGAATGTTTTAACCTGCTTACTCGATTTTTTTTCCACGTGTACTGCGACTTAGAACTCTTTGGAGTGTGATGTTCATGTAGCATGTCATATTCCTCCGGGGGTATTTTAATATGAAATCATGGTAGTTCATAGGTTTCTGTGTGGGAAGAATAATTTTGGTTTGAAACTTGCGAAATGGTGATAGTTTAAGATATTTTTAACCCAAGTCTTTTAGCCTTCCCCTTGTTTTCTTCTTCAGAAAATTGAGGCTAATTCTTTTCCACTCACTGTGTGTATATGTGTTTCTATGTCGCGTCGAACTTGAGATGTGAAAATTGGGGGTCTTTAGTTTTCTCTGTGTGAATAGAATCTATAAATATTGTTTTTCACTTACATTCTTCTTCGTAATTGTTAAGGAAATGATCAAATGGTTCAATATAACCTATTACAGTTTGAATAGAAGATTTGAACACAAAAATATTTCCTATGTTGATTTGGCATTGTGAATAGCCGCTCTGTCTTGATAGTTTAGAGATTCCTTACTTCGTGTTGTTGTCTAGTTACTACATGTTCGTGGTGATTATTGTTGGAAGTGTTCCTTTCGTTCTTATGTTGATTTGACTATATGAATAGTTGTTATGTCCAGATAACTTGGAGGTACCTTATTTCATACTATTGCTTATTTTCTACAGCTTCTCAGTTATCATTGTTATATGATGCCTCCTAAGGCAAGAAAGCTTCGTCGAAGTCTAGTTCCCGATGCCCTTAGCTACCTCCCTGATAATATAATTGATGTCATTCTGATGTGTTTGCCTTCTAAAGATGCTGTGAGAACAAGCATCTTATCAAAGAAATGGAGGTATCACTGGTGTCGACTTACAAAGTTGGAGCTTGATGAATCTCTTTGGATAACAAAGAAGGATTTACTGAACCCTACAATAAAATTTAGAAAGATTTTGTACCAGTTTTTGAGCCTTCATGAAGGACCAATTACTAAGTTTACCCTTGATGTTGTTCATCTAGCAAGCTGTCCTGAGATCGACAACTTCATATATTTCCTCTCGAGGAATGACATTCAACATCTTGCACTTCACCTTCCACTTAGAAAGGAATACAAATTGCCTTCCTTACTTTTCGCATGTTCACAGCTGAGGCATCTAAGTCTTTGTTATTGCTCAATACAACATCCATCAGCCTTTCAAGGATTTGATAAGTTAATTAGCCTGAATTTATGTGAAGTCAATATTTCTTCTGAGTTACTGGAAAGTTTAATATCTCATTGCCCGTTGCTTGAGGAGTTGGAGCTGGATATCGCAAACAAGTCAGACACAATTGAAATTAATGCCCCCATGTTGAGGTCGTTCGATCTCTCAGGCAATATGAGTTGTGTCTGCCTAAAGAATGTCCCTCGTCTGGTAAAAGTATTGCTGTATGGTGACTATATTAAAGCAGAGGATCTTGATTTTGCAAAGGTTTTCGAGTGTTGTCCTGCTCTTGAGCACCTCCTCTTTTTCTCCCTTGATTCCGGGGTAAATATTGCTTGATGACTTCATTATTATAACTTTAGTGGATGAAATTTCATTTGGGCTGACTTAATCTTGATTTTCGGTAATTGTTTCCTAGTTCTCTGCTGGAGCAGGGTATGAAGCACCAACAAGACTTCCGTTTAATCTTAACAGCGTCAAACGATTTACCCTGCCTGACATTATGCTGGTTGAATCATATAAGCTCTCATATGCTCTTTGCTTGATAAGAAGCTTCCCATATTTAGAATATCTCGAAATACAGGTTCTTAGTACTCCGTCTCTTCTAATTTCTTTCTTTCTTTCCTCAATAATCTATGAGTTGACTTCTTTTTATCTTTCTTAGGTTCATGAATATGGATATGACTATGAAGATGAAGATGACGAGGATGAACCTATTCCAGAACCCCTTGAGCTCAAACATTTATCCGATGTGACATTTAATCACCTCAAGGAAGTTAAGCTAGGCTGCTTAACAGGGACAACCACTGAGTTGCTGCTTATCAAATTTTTGTTAGCCGAGTCCCCAGTGTTGGAGAGAATGCTAATCGATCGACAGTATCTTGATCATGAACAGCTCGACACAAGATTACAAATATTCGCAGAGATATCAAATTTTTCGCGGGCATCACCTAAAGCAGAAGTTGTCTACATAGATTTAGGCGGATCATTGGCTTAGTAGAAGTTAAAAGACACAAAAGAGAAACAAACGTTGATGTAGTACTATGACACACTTGTTTATTTCTCTATTTGATCAATTGCATATATCGCACAGCTTGAAGGTAATTAAGAGGCTGTTTTTTTCGTTTCTTCGGCTTATTGAGATTAATGTGTATAATTAGGTGACATCTTTTAAGTGGTTAATGTATCTACCTAATGGGCACTTGAGAACATATGCATATCTCCCCCCCAACCCCAACTCCCTCCCCCATGTTAAGTTGAAAGTATAGTATGAATAATCATGGGTTTATTAGGTACTCAATTAATACAGAATATAGTTCAAGTATTTAGATGCAATTTACTATCAAGTTTAATGGATTGATAATCAAAGGTGTTGGATTTAAGCTTTAGGTATGAAGTGTCTTCGTCAATGACCATTTCATCCGAAATGTGAAATTTGTCAACACAAATCCAATTATAGTCGCCTCTCATGTGAATATTTCTAATAGGAAAAGAGAACAATGATGTTGAAGTGTGTTTTGATAAATAATTGGTAACAATTGAGATAGAAAAATAAAAAGATCAAAAGAATTTTGGTTGCGTGTTTGACCTTTTCACTCTTTTAGAAATAAAAAAGTACAAATACACCCTTCAAAACAATTAAATAGATCCAAATATGCCCCTACGTTACTTCTACTTCCCCCTATTTTATTTTACTTGATCTCTATTCACCTAACACACTACTTGAGAAGTTTGTTTTCTTTTTTGTTTTGCCGTTTTCTTTCCACCGTTATTATATCCATGACTCCTACCCGACACTCGTGTTTTAATGTTAAAAAGTATAAAATCACTTTCTTTGTGAATATATAAAGTACTTCCCCAATTCCCTCTTTCCCTCCAAAGCCCCATGCCCTAAATTAGGATAAAACATTTGAAATTTACAAATAGGGCATAAGGTGTTTGACAAAAGTCCAAAGAGAAAAAGGGCAGATTCCTTGGTAAGCTTTAAATCTTTTTCCACTATAATTTGGTTATCATTTCCCTCTTTTGATGAACTTACAATCTCTGAAAATAAGTGTATTTATCTTCCTATGTTTCAATACTCTGTTTTTAAGACTTGGAGGCGAATCTATGATTTTTAGAACATGGGTACACTAGTAAAAAAGAAGAAAATGTATTAAGCATGAATTGATCCCAACTTGTCTAGGTATATAACTCAACATTTTCAACCAAGTGCACCATTTAGTTTTATGAAGAGACCATGGGTTCATGTGTCCTATAATTAGCATATAAATTGTCCCTTTTTGGTATTTGTATATGTTTGTTAAGTCAATAAAAGTTACTTCCTATCTGTAGTTTTTGGTTTCAAAGCATAAGAAACTATTTATGTTTGTCCCGAAAATCTTACAAAAATAGTGTTTTTTGGATGGTTCAAATTCCAGCAGAGTCAGATGGTGGGTGTAGTAACTAGTAACTAGATATTTGTGCTGGTGGGAGATAGTAGGTACATGGTGTCATAGTCGAGTTTAGTGCAAGTTGGCGCAGGGAAGGTTTTAACATGTTTACTCAATTTTTTTCCACTTCTACTGCGACTTAGAACTCTTTGGAGTGTGGTATTCGTGTAGCATGTCATATTACTCCTGGGGTATTTTAATATGAAATCATGATAGTTCATAGGGTTCTGTGAGGGACGAATAATTTTGGTTTGAAAATCGCAAAATGGTGATAGTTTAAGATATTTTTAACCTATTCACTCTTTTTATTTACTGTTATAAGAGTCTTTTAGCCTTCCCCTTGTATTCATCTTCAGAAAATTGAGGCTAATTCTTTTTCACTCACTGTGGGTATATGTGTTTCTATGTCGTGTTAAACTTGGGAGTGAAAATTGAGGGTCTTCAGTTTTCCGGTGTGTACTGTATAAAGTAACTGTCCTTCTCTGTCGTGTTCCTAGTGCACCTCTTTTCATTCTCATCGTCATCTCACATAAACTCGAAATCAAGAAAAAAATGAGCATCAAGGGTGAATCATTGTAAATTATCATAGATTTATGTGCCAGAGAACTTGTAATATTGTTTTTTTGAGTTAATGGTAAAACACACACCTTAACTATAACTTTTTCACAAGTTTCACACCCCAACTATTGGTTGTTCCCTTTTTCTACATGGATTACCACTATCTATGTATTAAAACACATCTCGAAGCTGTTTAAGCCAACTATCAGTTGTTCTTCTGCTTGAACTATCACCATCTACACAACTAGGTGTGTTTTAATACATATGGTAATAGTTAAGGTAGGAAAAGGGAACACCTAATAGTTGAGGTGTAAAACTCGCGAATAAGTGATAGTCAAGTGTGCTTTTGATCACTACCATTATTTTTTACTTCATTTTTTTTTTTTTTGGCATAATGATGGCATGAGATGAGTTTAAAGGTAGAAACATGGTCAGTGAGGATTCATATACCCAATCCTGACTTATTTGGGATTGAGGCGCAGTAGTTGTTAATCCACCAATATAATTATGAAGTATTGATGAAAGGTGTTCATGTTAAGAATGCCATTAATGGATATCAAGAGATAAACATGGATTTATTTATTGGTAAATGTTGACACTGTTATCATACCATATGGGTATTTATGGTTAAGATTAACAAATTTTTATTTCCTATGTTGATTTGGCATTGTGAATTGCCGTCTGTCCAGATAATGTGAATAGTTGTTATGTCCACATGGAGATACCTTACTTCATATTATTGCTTATTTTCTACAGCTTCTTGGTGATCATTGTTATATGATGCCTCCTAAGGCAATAAAGGATCGTCGAAGTGTACTTCCCGATGCCCTTAGCTACCTTCCTGATAACGTAATCGATATCATTCTGATGCGTTTGCCTTCTGAAGACGCTGTGAGGACAAGCATCTTATCAAAGAAATGGAGGTATCACTGGTGTAGACTTACAGAGTTGAAGATTGATGAATCGCTTTGGAAAACAGAAAAGGATTTACTGAACCCTACAGTTAAATTTACAAAGATCATGTACCAGCTTTTGAGCCTTCATGAAGGACCCATTACTAAGTTTACCCTCTTTGTTGTTCATCTAGCAAGTTGTCCCGAGATTGACAGCTTCATATATTTCCTCTCGAGGAATAACATTCAACATCTTGTACTTAACCTTTCACTTAGAAAGGAATACAGATTGCCTTCTTCACTTTTCACATGTTCGCAGCTGAGGCATCTAAGTCTTTGTTTTTGCTCAATACAACATCTATCAGCCTTTCAAGGATTTGATATGTTAATTAGCCTGAAATTATGTGAAGTCAATATTTCTTCTGAGTTGCTGGAAAGTTTAATAGCTCATTGCCCGTTGCTTGAGGAGTTGGAGCTGGATATCGCAGACAAGTCAGACACAATTGAAATTAATGCCCCCATGTTGAGATTGTTCGATCTCTCAGGCAATATAAGTTGTGTCTGCCTAAAGAATGTCCCTCGTCTGGTAAAAGTATTGTTGTATGGTGACTATATTAAAGCAGAGGATCTTGATTTTGCAAAGCTTTTCGAGTGTTGTCCTGCTCTCGAGCACCTTCTCTTTTTCTCCCTTGGTTCCGAGGTAAATATTGCTTGATGACTTCATTATTATGCACTTTAGTGGATGAAATTTCATTTGGGCTGACTTAATCTTGATTTTCGGTAATTGTTTCCTAGTTCTCTGCTGGAGCAGGATATGAAGCACCAACAAGACTTCCGTTTAATCTTAACAGCGTCAAACGATTTTACCTGCCTGACATTATGCTGGTGGAATCATATAAGCTCTCATATGCTCTTTGCTTGATAAGAAGTTTCCCGTATTTAGAATATCTCGAAATACAGGTTCTTAGTACTTTGGCTCTTCTAATTTCTTTCTTTCTTTCTTTCCTCATTAATCTATGAGTTGACTTCTCGTTATCTTTCTTAGATTCATGAATGTGGATTTGACTATGAAGATGAAGATGATGAACCTATTCCAGAACCCCTTGAGCTCAAACATTTATGGGACGTGACATTTAATCACCTCAAGGAAGTTAAGCTAGGCTACTTATCAGGAACAACGTCTGAGTTGCTGCTTATCAAATTTTTGTTAGCCGAGTCCCCAGTGTTGGAGAGAATGCTAATCGATCGACAGTATCTTGATCATGAACAGCTCGACACAAGATTACAAATATTCGCAGAGATATCAAATTTTTCGCGGTCATCACCTAAAGCAGAAGTTGTCTACATAGATTTAGGCGGATCTTTGGCTTAGAAGTTAAAAGACTGAAAAGAGAAACAAACGTGATGTAGTAGTATGACATACTTGTTTATTTCTCTACTTGATCAATTGCATCTATGGCACAACTTGAAGGTAATTAAGAGGATGTTTTTTTTTTTTTTTCCGTTTCTTTGGCTTATTGAGATTAATGTGTATAATTAGGTGTCATCTTTTAAGTGGTTAATGTATTATGTAATGGACACTTGAGAGCACAAGCATACCCCCCACCCCAACCCCCAAGTTAAGTGGAAAGTATAGTATGAATAATCATGGGTTTATTAGGAACTCAATTAAAACAGAATATGGTTCAAGTGTTTAAATGCAATTTACTAACAAGTTTAGTGGAGTGATATCAGAGGTCTCGGGTTTAAGCTTTAGGTATGAAGTGTCTTCGGTAGTGACCATTTCATTTGAAATGTGAAATTTGTCAGCACAAATCTGAATCCAACCGCCTCCCGTGTGAATATTTCAGGTTAAAAAAAGAGAACAATAGATAGTTGAATTGGTAATAGTTCTAATAGAAAAATAGAAAAATAAAAAAAATCATAACAATTTAGGTTCGCTTTTGACAAGTACAAATATACCCTTCAAAACAATTAAATAGATCCAAATATGCTCTTACGTTGCTTCTACTCACCCTATTTCATTTTACTCGATCCTTGTTCACTTAACACACTATTTGAGAAAGTTTAAATTAAGGTATATTCTTTTTCATTTTGCCTTGTTCTTTCCACACTTATTATATTCATGACTCCAATCCGAGACTCGTGTTTCAATATTAACTATAAAATCACTTTCTTTGTGAATATATAAAGTACTTTCCCAATTCCCTCTCCCTCCAAAGCCCCATGCCCTAGATTAGGATAAAATTCTTGAAATTTACAAATAGGGCATTAGGTGTTTGACAAAAGTCCAAAGAGAAAAAGAGCTGATATTATCAGCAATCTTCTTCTTTGGTAAGCTTGAAATCTTTTTCCACTATAATTTGGTTATCATTTCCCTCTTTTGATGAGCTTACAATCTCTGAAAATAAGTGTATTTAACTTCTTATGTTTCAATACTTTGTTTTTAAGACTTGGAGGCGGATCTATGATTTTTAGAACACGGGTACACTAGTAAATAAGAAGAAAATGTATTAAGCATGAACTGATCCCAACTTGTCTAGGTAAATAACTCAACCTTTTCAACCAAGTGCACCATTTAGTTTTATGAAGAGACCATGGGTTCATGTGTCCTATAATTAGCATATAAATTGGCCCTTTTTGGTATTTATATATGTTTGTTAAGTCAATAAAGTTATTTCCTTTCTGTAGTTTTTGGTTTCAAAGCATAAGAAACTATTTATGTTTGTCCCGAAAATCTTACAAAGATAGTGTTTTTTTGGATGGTTCAAATTCCAGCAGAGTCAGATGGTGGGTGTAGTAACTAGTAACTAGATATTTGTGCTGGTGGGAGCCAGTAGGTACATGGTGGCATAGTCGAGTTTAGTGCAAGTTGGCATAGGGAAGGTTTTAACATGTTCACTCAATATCTTTTCCACGTCTACTGCGACTTAGAACTCTTTGGAGTGTGGTGTTCGTGTAGCATGTCATATTACTCCCGGGGTATTTTAATATGAAATCATGATAGTTCATAGGGTTCTGTGAGGGACGAATAATTTTGGTTTGGTACTTGCAAAATGGTGATAGTTTAAGATATTTTTAACCTATTCACTCTTTTTCTTTACTGTTATAGGAGTCTTTTAGCCTTCCCCTTGTTTTCTTCTTCAGAAAATTGAGGCTAACTCTTTTCCACTCACTGTGTGTATATGTGTTTCTATGTCGTGTCGAACTTGGGAGTGAAAATTGAGGGATCTTCAGTTTTCTGGCATGTACTGTATAAAGTAACTCTCTTTCTCTGTCGTGTTCCCAGTGCACCTCTTCTCATTCTCATCGTCATCTCACATAAACTCGAATTCAAGAAAAAAATGACCACCAAGGGTGAATCATTGTAAATTATCATAGATTTATGTGCCAGAGAACTTGTAATAATGTTTTTTAGAGTTAATGGTAAAACACACACCTAAACTATAACTTTTTTGCAAGTTTCACACCCCAACTATTGGTTGTTCCCTTTTTCTACAGGAACTATCACTATCTATGTCTTAAAACACATCTCAAAGCTGTTTAAGCCAACTATAAATTATTCCTTTTTCCTGCTTGAACTATCACCATATACACAACTAGGTGTGTTTTAATACATAAATGGTACTCCCTCTGTCCCAATTTATGTGACTTACTTTCCTTTTTAGTCAGTCCCAAAAAGAATGACACATTTCTATATTAAGTCATAATTTAACTATAAAATGTCTATTTTACCCTTAATGAAATGATTTACATCCACACAAATTTCTATCATTCATTTTGGACCACAAGTTTTAAAAAGTCTTCCATGCTTTCTTAAACTCCGTGCCGAGTCAAACTACCTCACATAAAATGGGACGGAGGGAGTAATAGTTAAGGTTGAAAAAGGGAACACCTAATAGTTGAGGTGTAAAACTCGCAAATAAGTGATAGTCAAGTGTGCTTTTGGCATGAGATGAGTTTAAAGGGAGAAACATGGTTAGTGAGGATTCATATACCCAATCCCGGCTTATTTGGGATGGGATTGAGGTGCAGTAGTTGTTGTTAATCCACCAATATATTTATGACGTATTGATGAAAGGTGTTCATGTTAAGAATGCCATTAATGGATATCAAGAGATATACATGGATTTATTTATTGGTAAATGTTGACACTGTTATCATACCATATGGGTATTTATGGTTAAGATTAACAAGTTTTTATTTCCTATGTTGATTTGGCATTGTGAATAGCCGTCTGTCCAGATAGTTTGGAGATTCCTTACTTTGTGTTATTGTCTAGTTACTACATGTTCTTGGTGATTATTGTTGACAGTGTTCCTTTCGTTCTTATGTTGATTTGACAATGTGAATAGTTGTTATGTCCACATGGAGATACCTTACTTCATATTATTGCTTAATTTGTACAGCTTCTTGGTGATCACTGTTATATGATGCCTCCTAAGGCAATAAAGCATCGTCGAAGTCTACTTCCCAATACCCTTAGCTACCTTCCTGATAATGTAATCGATGTCATTCTGTTGCGTTTGCCTTGTGAAGATGCTGTGAGGACAAGCATCTTATCAAAGAAATGGAGGTATCACTGGTGTAGACTTACAGAGTTGAAGATTGATGAATCTCTTTGGAAAACAGAGAAGGATTTACTGAACCCTACAGTTAAATTTACAAAGATTATGTATCAGCTTTTGAGCCTTCATGAAGGACCCATTACTAAGTTTACCCTCGATGTTGTTCATCTAGCAAGTTGTCCCGAGATCGACAACTTCATATATTTCCTCTCGAGGAATGACATTCAACATCTTGTACTTAACCTTTCACTTGGAAAGGAATACAAATTGCCTTCTTCACTTTTCACATGTTTGCAGCTGAGGCATCTAAGTCTTTGTTATTGCTCAATACAACATCCATCAGCCTTTCAAGGATTTGACAAGTTAATTAGCCTGAAATTATGTGAAGTCAATATTTCTTCTGAGTTGCTGGAAAGTTTAATATCCCATTGCCCGTTGCTTGAGGAGTTGGAGCTGGATATCGAAGACCAGTCAGACACAATTGAAATTAATGCCCCCATGTTGAGATTGTTCAATCTCTCAGGCAATATAAGTTCTGTCTGCCTAAAGAATGTCCCTCGTCTGGTAAAAGTATTGTTGTATGGTGACTATATTAAAGCAGAGGATCTTGATTTTGCAAAGCTTTTCGAGTGTTGTCCTGCTCTCGAGCACCTCCTCTTTTTCTCCTTTGGTTCCGAGGTAAATATTGCTTGATGACTTCATTATTATGCACTTTAGTGGATGAAATTTCATGTGGGCTGACTTAGTCTTGATTTTCGGTAATTGTTTCCTAGTTCTCTGCTGGAGCAGGATATGAAGCACCAACAAGACTCCCGTTTAATCTTAACAGCGTCAAACGATTTTACCTGCGTGGCATTAAGCTGGTGGAATCATATATGCTCTCATATGCTCTTTGCTTGATAAGAAGTTTCCCGTATTTAGAATATCTCGAAATAAAGGTTCTTAGTACTTCGGCTCTTCTAATTTCTTTCTTTCTTTCTTTCCTCATAATCTGAGTTGACTTCTCGTTATCTTTCTTAGATTCATGAATATGGATTTGACTATGAAGATGAAGATGATGAACCTATTCCAGAACCCCTTGAGCTCAAACATTTATGGGACGTGACATTTAATCACCTCAAGGAAGTTAAGCTAGTCTACGTATCAGGAACAACGTCTGAGTTGCTGCTTATCAAGTTTTTGTTAGCCGAGTCCCCAGTGTTGGAGAGAATGCTAATTGATCGACAGTATCTTGATCATGAACATCTCGACACAAGATTACAAATATTCGCGGAGATATCAAATTTTTCGCGTGCATCACCTAAAGCAGAAGTTGTCTACATAGATTTAAGCTGATCTTTGTCTTGCAAGTTAAAATATTGAAAAGAGAGAAACAAACGTTGATGTAGTAATATAACAGTGTTTATTTCAATGTTTTGTGGTGTGGTTTCAATGTGTTGATTCTCTACTTATCAATTGCATTTATCTACGTAATAAGCACTTGAGAACATAGACATATTTTTTCCCCCACAATTTGAACCAAAAGTGTAGTATGAATACTTTATCATACGTTCAGGTACTTGATTAAGTACTTAAATGTGATTTACTGGCAAGGTTCGAGTTATGTCATGTTGTGGGGTCGTAGTATGTTGATTTTTTACTTGATTGATTGCATTTATCTACGTAATAAGCACTTGGGAACACACATATATGTTTTTCCATAATTTGAGCTGAAAGTGTTGTATGAATACTCTATCATACGTTTAGGTACTTAATCAAGTGCTCAAATGTAAATTACTTTAATGGAGTGGTAATCAAGAGTTTCAGGTTCGAGTATTAGTGAATATTTTGCCCACAATGTAGGGTTTTTTTCAATGTGAATCCAAATTTAGTCGCCCCAATGCAAATACACACGTTAAATGAGACCCAATACAAAAAGACTTTTCATTTGCTTAGATCTAATACTTATTTTATTCACTTTTATTTGTCCACAATGAACTTCTTCACCGTTCGTTTAAGAAAATAATAAATGAAGTGCTTATTTTTATCATAATACCCCTAACTAATATAATTGGGAAGTAATTTTTGGGAATTGCTAATAGTTCACATAAAAGAAATAAAAACTAACAATAATTCGAATACAACTAGCCAAAAATAAATATAAATTAGTATAAATTTTGGCCGAAGAGAAGTAGGGGCATAAGGTGTTTGACAAAAGGCCAAATAGAAAAAAAGGCGGATTCCATCATCAACTATATTGTTGCATGTAAGCTTTAAATCTTCCTCCATTATATTTTTTCTGTGTTTTTATCAGTTCTTTCCATTTGGGTATGTGTATCTGTTGTTAAATCAATTAAAGTTACTTCCTTTACATAGTTTTTTGTCAAAGCATAAGAAGATATTTACCTTTGTCCCAAAAATCTTAGTGTTTTTTGAAGGTACAAATTCTTGCTGAGATAGTGTGATTCTGGTTTCTATAGAGGCTAACTCTTAGGATGTGTTTTTGGTACAATGGTAAGTGGGGTTCTTTCTTATTATGTGTTATTAAGTAAATAAGCAGAAAATATTGTTCCAAAAACATGTGTATATAATCTAGAGAAACACTATTGGGTTGGTATGGGGGCAAGGGGGAGTTGGGGTTAGGGGTAGACAGTAGCGGATCTAGAATTATCTAAGAGGTGTCAATGGTTGTAGTAAAAAATATAATTATGAGACTAGTAGGGTTTGAACTTTGAACATACGACCTCAGGAATTTTCGAAGCACCTTAACCACTATATTAAACTATTAACTTGTGTCAATACTTGTATATATGTTTATTAAACCAAAATTTGACCTCTATATACAATGTAATTTTCCGACAACACCCCTTACCCAAGGGTGGGTCCGCCCCTGGGGTAGGGGTGGGGTGTGCTGGAAGGTGAGTATTAGACAATTAGTGTGGATTGACACTTATAAAAGTTGTTTTCCCTACTTTCACTAGGGAAGTCATTTTCCTCAATTTTATGTTTCACTAGAGAAAATGTTTTCCAAACTTTTGACCAACTTAACAGGAGAAAATTGGAAACTACATACCAAACACACCCTTAATGGAAGGTGTTCATTCTGTGAGAATGCAAGTAATGGATATTAAGCTATGTTACATGGATTTCCTTACTGGTACATACTCAGTCTGGGTATGTCAAGTGTATTTTTCCTTCTGATTTTTGGTGTTTCTTGAAGAATCTGCACGAAATACCCAAGCTAATATCCTGCCGTTCAATATGGGTATCTCAAGGCAAATTGCAACATAGGTATTAAAAGGAGATAGTTGACTGATTTCAACAAGAATGCACCTTAATTTGTTATGTTAGTTTGACCATGTGAATAGATGTACTATCCAGATAGTTTGAGAGTCCTTACTTCGTATTATTGTTTATCACTACAGAATTTTAGTGATTAGTATTGTAAGTGTTCTTTTCGTTCTTATGTTGATCGGAAAATGTGTATAGAAATTCCATCCACATTATTTGGAGATCCTTACTTTGTATTATTGCTTATTTTCTACAGGTTCTTGGTGATTTTTGATATATGATGCCTCCTAAAGGCAGAAAGCATTGTCGAAGTTTACTTCCTGACGTTCTTAGCTACCTTCCTGATAATATATCCGATGTCATTCTGATGCATTTGCCGTGTAAAGATGCTGTGAAAACAAGTATCCTATCAAAAAAATGGAGGTATCACTGGTGTAGACTTACAGAGTTGAAGCTTGATGAATCTCTTTGGAAAACAAAAAAGGATTTACTGAACCCTACAGTTAAATTTACAAAGATCATCTACCAGCTTTTGACACTTCATGAAGGACCCATTACTAAGTTTACCCTCAATGTTGCTCATCTAGAAAGTTGTCCTGAGATCGACAACTTCATATGTTTCCTCTCGAGAAATGACATTCAACATCTTGTACTTCACCTTCCACTTGGGAAGATGTACAAATTGCCTTCTGCACTTTTCACATGTTCGCAGTTGAGGCATCTCAATCTTCATAATTGCTCTATACATCATCTATCAGCCTTTCAAGGATTCAATAAGTTAATTAGCCTGGAACTATGTGGAGTCACAATTTCTTCTGAAGTTCTGGAAAGTTTAATATCTCATTGCCCGTTGCTTGAGCAGTTGGTACTGGATATCGCAGAAAATTCGAACACAGTTGAAATTAATGCCCCCATGTTGAGTTCGTTCAATTTCTCAGGCAATATAAGTTCTATATGCCTAAAGAATGTCCCTTGTCTGGTAAAAGCATCTTTGGAGTGTGACTATATTAAGGCAGAGGATCTTGATTTTGCAAAGGTTTTCGAGTCTTGTTCTGCTCTCGAGTACCTCCTCTTTAACCTCTTCAATTCCGGGGTAAATGCTGCTTGATGACTTCATTGTTATGCACTTTAGCAGATGTAATTTCTTTTAGGCTTACTTAATCTTGAATTTTGGTAATATTTTCTTAGTTCTTTGCTGAAGAAGGATTTGAAGTACCAACAAGGCTTCCCTTTGATCTTAACAGTGTCAAGCGATTTTACTTGCCTGATATTGTGCTGATTGAACCATCATATGAGCTCTCATATGCTCTTTGCTTGATAAGAAGCTTCCCATATTTAGAGTATCTCGAAATTAAGGTTCTTCTTAGTGCTTTGATTCTTTGCATAATTCTTAATCCTCAATAATATGAGAGTTGACTTCTTCTTATCTTTCTTAGGCTGACTGTGAGGATGAAGAGGATGATAGTATTCTAGAATGCTTTAAACTCGAACATTTCTCAAACGTGACATTTAATCACCTCAGGGAAGTTAAGTTGGCATGCTTTGTAGGAACCACACCTGAGATGCAACTCATCAAGCTTTTATTAGCCAAGTCCCCTGTGTTGCTGAGAATACTAATTGATACACGTTATCTACATGATAAACCTCTTGACACAAGATCAAAAATATTTGCCGAGGTCTCAATTTTTTTGCGGGCATCACCTAAAGCAGAAGTAGTCTACAAAGATTTTTAAGCAGATCAATTTTTAGCTTAGAAGTTGAAATTGAAATGAGAGAAACAAAGGTTGATGTATAACAGTATATTTTGCTTGGGAACATGAGCATTGTTAGATGTATGTTTTGATTAGTTTGTTCTGTAATAACATTGTCCCTACATGTTTTAAGGATTTTTACATTTACTGCTTGCTCATGAATGAGTTATTGAATACGTATTACACATGAATTGACACTGTGATGGCTTATTGAGGCTGGTGCATATAATTAGCTTTGTGTTTGGAAGCTCTTGCCTGCTTGAACTATTGTTTCAACCAGGGGCAGACCTAAGGTTGCCGTGGGGGTTCACCCGAACCTCCTCGGCAAAAAATTATGTGGTATATTTAGGGTATTTTTAAGAATTTTTATGTCTATATATTGATTTTGAACCTCCTAAATATAAGATTAGAGGTTGGTTTAGTGGTTGAGGGGTTCAAAACTTACCTTGAGGTTCCAAGATTGAGTCTTAGTCACTACTCTTTTTTTTTCCGAACCCCCTTAATGAAAATTGTGGATCCGCCACTGGTTTCAACCATTTATTGTTTAACTAACCCATGATTAGCAAAGAGCTGCAGAAACTATGAGTAGGAGTTTGTTATAGAACCTATGAGATTGACAACTTCATATGTGGCCTACAAGATCTCGTTCTTCACCTTCCATTTAGAAAGATATACAAAATTGCCTTCTTCACTTTTCACGTGTTTGCAGCTGAGGTGTCTAAACCTTCATAATTGCTCAATGCATCATCCATCGGCTTTTCAAGGTTTTGATAAGTTAATTAGCCTTGAACTATGAAGAGTCACAGTTTCTTCTGAATTGCTGGAAATTTTAATATCTCATTGCCCGTTGCATGAGCAGTTGATGTTGGATATCCCAAAAATTCTAAACATTATTGAAATTGATTCCCCCATGCTGAGATTGTTTGATTTCACTGGCAATATAAGTTATCTGTCTAAAGAATGTCCCTCTTCTGGTAAAAGTATTCTGGCAGGTTACGATATGAGGGGAGATGATTTTGATTTCGCAAAGGTTTTCGAGTCTTGTTCTTCTCTCGAGCACCTCCTCTTCAAATTCCTTAATATCTGGGTAAATGTTGCTTCATGACTTCATTGTTATGCACTATAGCAGATCAAACTTCTTTTGGGCTAACTGATCTTGAATTTGTTTAAAATTTTCCTAGTTATTTGCTGAAGAAGGATATGAAGCACCAACAAGGCTTCCCTTTGATCTTAACAGTGTCAAACGATTTTACCTGCCTGAAACTATCCTGGTGGAATCATATGATCTCTCTCTTTCTCTTTGCTTGATAATAAGTTTCCCATACTTG